AAACATGATAGTCCTCTCAGTATAATGTCTTAGATTAAAGACGTTGCCTTTAATATCTGTCGGAAAGGAAATGTCCAGACTTTTCAAGTCTTTTATTCTATGTTTCCTTTTTGTTTACATAGGGAACAGTGTTTATAGTTGTGTGTACAGTGGGGGTCTACAACAAGAAGTGTATATTTTCACACAGCTTTTTAATGGTTTCACAGTTTTGTAAATCATTTCCAGGCTTCTGCGGCTGTAGATTCTCACTGTGAACCCTTTGCTTGCTCATGCGTATGTGTCTTGCAATACCAATACACAGGTGTAGTATCTTTGCCTGTCAGTGATCGTTTCACACGTGTAACGTTTTGGTTGAGATGTTAAGTGGTGGACGAGTACTGTGGATGTGAATGTGGGAAGTAATTTTAATCATGTGTAATGGGTCACAAGGCCTGACTTGCAGTAACTCTTGCTGTTGTATTTAGCAATGCCTTGTTGCTCTGTATGCATTACCGTTTGGGTGTAAAGATTGTGTGTCTATCCAACAGGGAGCCACAGTATTTAAGCTGACCATTCTAATGTTACGACGACTCGGAGGTGGCCAAATGTAAACTAAAGCCTTAATTAAAGTGGTGCAATTTTGTATAACTTAGCATCCGTAGTTCAATAAATTTGGATTGCCATGCAAGGGCTTGCATTATAATTACTTGCCACTTGAGTGTGTTCTGTGTCGTGTCTTCACAGTGCTGGGAAATAAACGTGGGCTTACCTTGGTTGTAAACACGGGAGGTGCATTCCACGCAGTGTGATTTCATAATTTAGCATTTGGGCAAGCCAGACCCATTCGTTAATCACAAGAATGGTGAGTGAAAGAAGTCAGGGTTTCCTTCTAGTATGGCTTGAATACCCACATAACCAACCACTTTCTGAACTTTCCCTGGAGAAGGAGTTTTTTAAGTGAAGAAATACTACTTAGGAACAAATGCCTGTGTGTAATGTTCTTTGAGGAGGTGAAAGGGGGATGATTGGAAATACCTTGACAGATGGTATACTGTGGATTTTTTAAATAGTTAGAATATTATGGTTATAAAAATCATTGAATGATATGGAGTCAAGTCTACTTTCCTTTTAGAGAATAGATCTATTTTTTTCTTTTTTATGCTGTAATTGAATTCTTCTGTGAAGTCTGTGATGAGGCGCTTAAACTTCTAGTAGTTGAAGCAATTAGTTGGTGATGCTGTGATTTAGGAGTATCTGCTAATCCCCTAAATACGTTCTGTTTGAATGGGGCACTGTGGCTTTCGTTTTAAGAAGAAACAATTCTTTGCCTAAAGAGACTTGTTTTGGCAGAACTGGCTTTATTTAAAGTCATCTGGGAAAAAACTAACCCCCCAAAGTGGGACTGTGACTCACTGAAATCCCTTCGGTTTACCATGTCCTCTTAACGTCCATGGAGGACACCATCTTTCATTCATTCACCTTTAATGAATGTTTATTGCCTGTCAGCTACGTGCATGGCACAGTTCTAGGCTCTTAAGAACAGCTAGAATAGAGTCACTCATTGACAGATAACTTGAAGTACTTCGGTGTCAAGGATGGTTGATTGTTCTAGGCCTGAGGACACAGCAGCAATGGAGATCAGCTATACACGCTGCCCTCCTACAATCAGTCCTCTTGCGCGGAGTTTCAACCTCAGCGCCATTCGTGTTCATGCTGGATAATGTGCTGCGGGTGCCCACCTGTGCATTTCGGGAGTTTTAGTAGCATCCCTGGCTTCTGCTCACTCAATGTCAGCGACAACACTCCCACCCCCAGCTGTGAGAACCAAACATGTGTAGACATTACCAAATGTCTTCAGTCGGATTGTTGGGGTATTGGGGTATGAACTTGGAAAGCCAAGTCACCCTGGTTGAGAGGTGCTCTGGTGGGAACCAGCACAAGTTGAGTGCCAGGGTTACGAGATGGATGGTTTTGTGTAGGGAGTAAGAATGTGGGCCTTCAGAACCAGAGTTCCTAGTGTCCAGTCCCAGCTCTGCCACATACTAGCATGTGACCTTGGGTGGATACCCTGATTTCCTCATCTGTAAAGTGAGAAGGATAACCTGTACTTGACAGGAGTAGGCGTGAAGCCAATGCCAGTGCTGCCTTCAGGTGGGTGGCTGTAATACTGATAGAAATAGGGCTGTGGTGTGGCAGAAACACCATTTTTTCACTGCTTGTTGGAACGTCACTAAAATAGTTCAGTCAGAAGAGGCATGAGTTCCTTTTCACATCTCCAAGAACCCTTGGAGAAATGGATTCTAGGGGAAAACCAGAGTGGTATTTCACATGTATTTTCCTAAAAAGTGTAAAAACCCTGTTTTGACTTTCATGTTGGTTCCATTTTTTTTGTTTGTTTTTCTTAACTTTAAGTAGGTAATCTTTACCATACGTGAACATTATAAATAGAAAGTTGTTTTTTTTTAAATTCCATTTATGAAATTAAGTGTTTGTTTTGTTTTGAGTTAGAGTCTCACTCTGTTGCCCAGACTGGAGTGCAGTGGCACGCTCGAGCCACTGCAATCTGGACCTGCTGGGCTCAGGCAATTCTTCCACCTCAGCCTTCCAAGTAGCCGGAGCTACAGGCGTGCACTACCGGTAACGCCCAGCTAATTTTTGATCTGTTGTAGAGATGAGGTCTCGCGAAGTTGCCCAGGTGGGTCTTGAACCCGCGGGCTCAGGCAACTCGCGTCAGCCTCCCAAAGTGTTGGGATTACAGGCTGAGCCACCAAGCCCGGCCAAGTTGTGTTTTTTTAAAAATCATCCTGTCTTTGGATGTGGGGCAGCAAACGTAGAAGCAAAATTTAATCATAAGTCTCTTTAGTCTGTGCTTGCCTTGAACTTCATCTCCACCTGTTATTCCATCTCCCTTTTCAGTCTTGACCATGTACAAAGGAGTTATGGTGTGTTACAATCAGCATTCCTCCTCCTTTATCTTCGAAACCATAAAGCGTCTGCAGGCTTGTCTTCTCATCTGTCGGCGAGCCTTAACACGGCAACTTGTGGAACTCAAACCTTGGCGAAAAATAAACCCGTTCTCTCCTGCATGTCAGCACAGCACAGCACCTGTCTCTTGAGGCCACGTGAGAGGGGCGTGGTGGGCTGAAGGCAGAACCAGTGCTGCGGCCGGTCCCTGGGCTCCTGAGGGGAGCGTGCTCGAGTCTGTGCTGAGACACTTGCCGACAGGGGCCTGTGCATCCTGGCCGGATGTCTGTTCATCTTCGAGGAGCAGAAATGAGAGGCTCGTGCCGAAGGGTCAGTATTCCAGACACTACAGGGCTTAAAAGCATCCACAAGCGGCACACATTTTGAGTACGGTATCCCTGGAGTGACCTTATCATTTCAGGGTGACCCAGTGCCCTCTGCATCGAGGCAGAGGAAAGATCAGATGCGGCCTCACAAAGATGGGCATCGTGTGTCTCACAGGCTTTGCTTGCCGCAGGCAGTGGGGACCCGAGTTCTCGCTGAGTCTGCTCAACTTCTCAGAACTGTCCCTGGGGCAGCTGAATGGTTTTAGGAAGGCCCACTGTCGGCTTCATGTGTATAAAGTTCTAATCTTTAAGTAGAGGCAGTCAGTAATTGTTCTGATTTCTCCAGAGGGCTATGGAGAGAGTGTGTACTGTGTTTTATTATGAACCTGGTTTAACCCAGTTTTCCTTACGGAGTGACACAAATGAGATAACTGTCCAAAGTCAGCATTTGGGCCAAAATGCAGGTCGTCTTCTGAAAGCTGAACAGCACAGACCTTACAGGATTTGTATATGAGGTCGAAAGGCTACAGAAGTTTTTAAATACACAGAGATTGGGCTGCATGTGGTGACTCACACTTGTAATCCCATCACTTTGGGAGGCTGAGGCGGGAGGATCGCTTGAGGCCAGAAGTTGGAGACCAGCCTAGGCAACATAGTGAGACCTCATCTCTACAAAAAAAATCAAAAAGTTAGCCAGGCGTGGTGACCCCTGTATTCCCAGCTGCTCAGGGAGGATCTCCTGAGCCCTGGAGGTTGAGACTGTGGTGAGCTGTGACTGTGCCACTGTACTCCAGCCTGGGTGGCCAAGTGAGACCCTGACTTTCAAAACACATACACAATCCCAGCACTTTGGGAGGCTAAGGCGAGTGGGTTGCCTGAGCCTCCGGGTTCAAGACCAGCCCAGGCAGCTTGGCAAGACCTCTTTTCTACAATAAGTCAAAAAATTAGCTAGGCGTGGTCATGCGTGCCTGTGTCTCCCACTACTTGGAAGGCTGAGGCAGATGGGTCACCAGAGCCCAGCAGGTCAATGCTGGGGTGGCTGTGAGCGTGCCACTGCACTCCAACCTGGGCGACAGAGTGAGTTGCCAACTCCAAACACACACACAACACACACACACACACACACGGGATTCGCCATTCCTGCCCATTGACATGTCTGTTTATAGTGTGGTAATTTGTGTCCTCTGCGAGCGCTAATTTCAGAAAAGAAAACCATTACTTGGTGTCAGGCTTTGAATGCACAGTGCA